GAGCAAGAGCAAAATAGAGATTTTCTGGTGAGTGGAAAGACCAAAGCCGAATGATTTGGCCTGGACGGAGCCTGTTATTGACGGCTGCATTGTGCCATCCGGAAATCAAGACGTAATTGGCAGAGCTTTTCATATCCCATCTCCTAAAGTTAAGCTCGCACTTTTGACCCTCAAACCCAACAAAGATGACATCAACTCCTTTGACACGCCTCTTGAGGCGATGATCCGTTATGAACCTCATCTCTTCCTCGTTCAAAAAGTCCTCTTCCACTATCATGTTCAACGGAATCAAGAGACGGTTTTGGTGTTTGGCAATATCAGTTGCAGTAAGTTCCTTTTCGATTATCAGCTTCGCATCGAAACCGTTCTCTTCTCTCATCAAGTTGACAAGCCATTCCGGCGTTTCCTCCGGCCTCTCTCTAACCACCACCTCTCTTATAACCGGCTTTCTTTTTCTAGCCGGTGCTTCTCTTTCCCTAACTGGCTCTATTTCCCTAACGGGTTCGTTGGGTACCACGAGACGCCTCTTGGACGCAACGTGGTACGAACTTGAAGAAGAAGCAACACGATTAGGGTTTTGTTGCTGGTTTTGACTCGCGTGCTCGGCAAGTTTCCGTTTACGCAAGGAAAAGCTTTTTGTTGCCCTAAGACTCATTTCTTCTTCAACCTCCTCGCTACTAGCTTCACTACTCGACCTTTTCCCTTTTCCCTTATCACTAAAAAATCTAACCATTCTCTCCGTTGCTACAGATAAAATATCAAAACTTCTCTTCTCGGGCTGAACTTGTCCACCGTGCACCATCGTTATCGAAAAGTTTCTTCTTTTTTTCGCGATGAAATATTGATAACAATAAGGAAATAGAGAATGATCAAAGAGGGAGGAGTACCAGTTAAACAGACGGACAAGATATATATATATATACACTAAAACCCAGCTATTTGCCAACTGTTCTTTTTTCCTTATTAATTCCGTATTTATCTTATTTCCTTTTTGTTTAAATTAAATCTTTATTTATCTTGTATTCCTATTGGTTGCTTTCAATTTTTTCCGGTAAACACAAATATATTTTCCAAGAGACTCTAAAATATTTTATATAAGATTCTTAAAAGATTATGTAGTTATCTACTTCACTTCCGCGCGCGTGGTAGTATTTCCATATTTGACCAGGTTGTTCTACGATACAAAAAAACGTGGGAAAGAGGAAACAAAAAAAAATAAATAGATGTTTTCAGAAGTCGTAAAACAAGAATCATGGCCAGAACTCGTAAATCGATTGTTTTTTCACGTATCAAATCTTTAAAAAAAAATATTTCCATTAATTGCTTAATCACCAATTAATCAAGGACTCTTTTTGGTTCACACTCTACATTCTTCTCAGAAATATGGTTAAAGCAGAAAAATTCGTTTAGTCTAAAGGAAAGTATTCATACC